AGAGGAAAAAGATATACTTACTTGGGAACGATAATCACAGAAAATAACGATTATACTGCAGAAATAGGAGTCAGAATTGAAAAAGCCCGTGCCAACTTCGTGAAAATAAAAAATATTTAATGCAGCAAAGTTCTGACATTGGCCCTCAGAATAAGGCTAATTAAATTCTATGTACACAGTGTATTCTACTATGGAGCTGAATCATGGACGTCAAACCAGAATACGATAAATCGACTTAAGGCGTTTAAAATGTGGACATTTAGAAGGTTGTTAAGGATACCATGGGTAGATAGAGTCACGAATACAGAAATATACAATAAAATACAATAAAAGAAAGGAAATTGCAATATCTCGAACATGTGATGAGAGATGAAAGATACAACAGCTTAAGACTTATAATTCAAGAAAAATAGAGGGAAGGAGAAGCGTAGGAAGAAGACGCGTTTCCTGGTTGAAGAACCTGAGTGAGTGGTTTGGTTGCAGCTCAAGGGCAATTGTTCAGAGCAGTTGCCTCGAAGATCAAAATAGCCATGATGATTGCCAACCTTCGTCGCGGAGATGGCACTTAAAGAAGATATAAATAGCGGACATATTTCAATCGACAAGGAAACTAAGTTCGTGTAGCTGGCTGTATACCATATATCACAAAAAAATTATTTAAAAATAATTAAAACACCCTATCCCGCTACATAAATGTGAAGATGACCAGGATGAACCACAATTTGGCTTCAGAAATGGACTGGGAACTCGGGACGCCCTCTTTGCACTAAATGTATTACTGCAGAAATATCGAGATCAAAGGAAAGACGTCTTTGCTGTATTTATTGACTATGAAAAGGCCTTTGATCGAGTACAGCATCACAAATTAATTATAATATTAAAAGATCAAGAAGTTGATAGTCTAGACATACGATTCATAGAAAAGTTATACTGGCGTCAAACAGCGACAGCTTGCATAAACGGAAAATCAACAGAAATATATAAAATACAAAGAGGTGTCAGACAGGGTTGTATACTATCACCACTATTATTTAATTTATATTCAGATAGAATATTTAAAGAAGCGCTGCATAATTTCGAATGGGGCGTGAAAGTTAATGGAATTCTAATAAATACAATCAGATATGCAGACGATACAGTTATTTGAAGTGATGACATGAATGGACTACAATGCCTTTTAAATGCCATTGATACAGTGGGAAGAAAGTTTGGCCTAAACATAAACTGTTCAAAAACAAAACACATGGTGTTTAGCCGTTTAGCACATCAAGATACACGATTATATGGTGATGGTCATATAATTCAAAGAGTTTCCAGTTTTAATTATCTTGGTTGCCACATTACTGAACAACTAGATCCAGATCAAGAGATAAAATGTAGAATCGAGATAGCCCGCACGACATTTTTAAAAAATGAGGTCATTCTTCTGTAATGATAACTTGCAACTTCAACTTCGAAAGCGCATGGTTAAATGCTACCATTTAATTGGTCATTAAATTTGGTCAGTCCTCTTATACGGTGTCGAAGCATGGACATTAAAAATATCCACCATAAATCGTTCGGAGGCTTTTAAAATGTGGCTGCACAGACGTATACTAAAAATTCCATGGACGGCTATGCTGACAAATGTGGCAGTCCTTGAGGGAGCAAATGCTGCTCGCGAGCTGCTTGATAACATCAAATGTAGAAAGATGGCCTATTTTGGACACGTAGTAAGAGGAGACCAATATAATATTCTTCAACTTGTTATGATGGGTAAAATCGCAGAATGTAGAGGAATTGGTAGAAAGCACGCCCCTTGGTTGAAGAATATCAGGGAGTGGACAGGAATAAGGAAAGCTGAGCAACTCTTTAGAATAGCTCGAGACAGAGACAGTTTTGCCATGTTAATCGCCAACGTCAAGGAAACTTGATAGGGCACGTTAAGAAGAAGAAGATCGCGCTACATCATAGAAAGTTTTCGGAATTAATATTTCATCATCAGTGGATCTAGATATACATGTTTAGAACCACTAAATACCTGGGTAAAAACCCGTTAAATGTTTTTAATTTGAATTTTGAAATTGATTGTAATGATAATAATTACACTTATATTTGTTTGACATTTTCAAAAAACCTATGAAAAATTAAACTTATCATTAACATAAACTGTAAGTATGTGCACATTGACTCTTAGTGGTGACACCAATTTGACAGTAGACTAACTTGGCATTGATCTTGTAGGCACTAGCCATATTTTGAGGAAATTTCTGAAAGGAGTTGTTGTACTCCCGTATTGATATTAAATTTTGATCTTTATCTGCTAATGTAGTTGATTATACTACTTACTAACGCAACACAGAAAAAAATGAAACCTATTTAAAAATGCTTACCCGCCGAACTAGAACAGGTATAGAGAATTATAACCCGACAAGCGAGAGCTGGCGGGTTGCGTGTAGAACAAATTGAAAAGTGGAAGGGATTGCTCATTTCTATTGCAGTCGGCTAGGAGTTCACATCGTGTATAACCGTTTAAGTACCTATACTATATACCTATAATCGCGATTAAGTACCTCTCCTATTTCTCTTAGAATAATTCCTTTTCTATTTTCGCGCAGCTCACCCGCCAGCTCTCGCTTGTCGGATTATACCATACAAAGAGAAGAGAAGAAAAGAAAATACACAGAATAAAGAAATGAAACCACTTAAAAAAGGAACTTCAATATATTGAAAACCTCAACAGACAGAAAGAATTCAGAACATTTTATAAGAAAGTTAACAGCAACAGAAAATAATTCAAGACAAAGACAAATCAATGTAGAAGTTTGAATGGCGATCTATTAACAACCAGAACAGACGTACTAAATCGATGGACGGAATATTTTAACCAGATACTTAATATAGAGGAAGAAAAAGAAAAACCAGAAGACAAAAACTGTGAGGTAAGCGGAGCAGATGAGAGGGAGGAGGATCCACCAACGATCCTGGAAGTTAAAGAAGCTGTAAACAAACTAGTCAGAAACAACTCACCCGATTAGATTATCTCCCAGCGGAATTATATAAAGAAGGTGACCACGATATCATAATAGTGCTACAGCAGCCTATAAAAGAAATATGGATACAGAAGTCCCTTTCCAGTGATTGGAATATTGGAATACTTTGCCACCATACACAAAAAGGGAGATATCTTTGAATGCTATAACCATCAAGGAATTACGCTCCTAAATGCAGCGTATAAAAATATTCTCCAATATACTATGCCATCGTATGGCACCATATATAGAGCGAATTATAGGACAATATCAGGCTGGTTTCAGAGGTCGTAAATCAACAATTCGTCAGATTGCAACCCTGAGACAAATTTTAGAGAAAACACGAATACGGTGTAGACACGCACCACCTATTTATAGACTACAAGGCAGCCTACGACTCTGTAAATAGAAAAGAATTGGTAAGAGAAATGATAGACCTAGGAGTACCAAATCAGTTGGTAAGTCTAACCAAACTAAACCTTGAAAAAGTTGAACGCAGAGTACGAATCCAGGGTGAACTCTCTGAACCTTTTAAAACAAATAACGGTTACGTCAGGGAGACCCACTCTCCTGTATACTATTCAATCTAGCTCTGGAAAAAGTAATACTTACGTCATAAATCACAACTACCGGTTCAATATATAACAAATATGTGCAAATCCTAGCATATACTGATGATATCAATATTGTTGGCAGAACGGAAAACGCAACACGAGAGGCGTACGTAGCAATAAAGGAAGCGGCTACAAAAATGGGTTTAATAATAAATACCAATAAAACGAAAAACATGAAAATAGGTACGCAACTACAAATACTATGGCCACTTGTAATAGAAAACGACGTCATCGAAGCAGTTAACGAATTTGTACACCTGGTAACGCTCGTCAATACTGAAAATGACACTACCGCAGAGATAAACCGCAGAATTTGCACGGCTAATAGATGCTATTTTGGCCTTTATCTCCTTTTTAAATCTACAGTTATATCAAGAAATACTAAAGTAAAACTCTACAAAACAATAATTCGCCCAGTCCTAACAGATGGTTCAGAAATCTGGACTTTAACAAAAAGTAATGAAAACATGTTAGGATGACAAAGGATGTTTCGAAAGAAAAATACTAAGGCGAATCTATGGAGCGGTAAATGAAACTGGTGTCTGGAGAATACGATACAACTTCGAACTCTATAGAATATACCAGGAACTAGATATCGTAAAACACATTAAGATAGGGCGTCTGAGGTGGGTAGGCCATGTAATGCGCATGGAGCAAACCGACCCAGCTAGAAAAATGCTCCTTGACAGACCTATTGGACAAAAAAGAAGAGGAAGACCCAAAACAAGATTCTTAGATAACATAGACCAAGATATGAGAAATATAAAAATAGTGCTTCGCGGAGGAAGGCGATGGATAGGGACGACTGGAAAAAAAATTCTTGGGGAGGCCACACTGGGTTGTAACGCAGAAATGATGATGATGAAATAGTTGATTATAGATCTGTGTACTTCTGACTTGATTAGTAAATCGTTAATATTGATACATATATTCTTATTGCTGACTTCTTCTTTCAGAGCCTTAAGGTAAGTGCTACTTTTTTTATTTCCCTTTTTTAGGCTGTCCGTTTCTTTCATGACTGTCGATGAATTTTTTTATTGTGCTCTGTGCTCATAAATCCATTTTATAAAGGTTTTTTGAAAACGGTGTCTGGATGGAAATCGAAACCACAAAATAAATGTATTATTTTACTTCATTACAATCAAAGGTACAATATACAAATAAAGTAATCTAAAAAACAAGACCCTTTTTGCTCTTGATGTTAAGACAAGATAATTAAGTTCTAAACACTTTTATAGTGGTTTTATATATATTATATTTAATGCAATTAGTGAAAAACAATAATGAGATTATTAAAACTTATTTTCTTAGCATTAGGTTAAAAATTTAATCCAACAATACAAATAAGAAATATATCTTTAAAATATTATATTACCTTGGCCATATCTGTTATAGTATTGGCATTATCCATTAATTTACGTTGGTCCATTTTTACTTTTCTTAACCTACAAAAAAAAATGAATGAAATTTGCGGTACTTATACAGTTTAATTATTATTATTTGGCGCAAAACATTTACTAAGTTTATAAGTTTTACACGAATACATTGGATTATTCAGATTTTTAAATCAGATTTAGTTTCTATAGGAGGTAAAGAAAAAAAATGTATTTCAGGACAATGATTTCTTTTGTATTCCAAGTAATCTATTTCTATTTTTTGTTTTATATGCTTCTCCACCATATTGTTACATTTCTTTAAAATACTTCATTCAAGGAACAGTTATATTACAATACAGTAAACAATTTTCAAACAATGACAACTATAAACTTCAAAATCTCGGTTAAATAACTACTGTTATTTAACCCTAAAATACTAACGTTTCTTTAACATACGTAAATGCTAAATATACGTAAATTTTACGTACTTAATAATTTAATTCTAGTATTTTCTTTTTATTTCATATCTAATTAAAACAAAATGGTTTAATTTTATGAGAAGTTTATTTAGGAACGATACAAATTTTAGGACATTTAGCCCTAGAAGTCATTGGATGTCAAGAAAGTCCTGTTACATTTTATAGAGTCGGTAAACCAAATCAAAATAAACGTTATCCCCGCATGATAAAAGTGATAATGAGTTCTGAATACCACACTTGAAAAATTCTTCGTAACAAAAATAAACTTTTGGAAAACAAATCTACTGAAACTTATTCTGTTATTGATGACAAGACACCTATGCAGCAACTTTGTTTAAAGGAACTTCGTACTGAGCTTGAAACTCATAAAAATAATGGAGAAATGACCTTACGATTAAATATGTGAATGGCTGTCCAAAGATAATGAAATTTCGTTTATAATTCTTCTGCACAAAAATTTACGGATTGGCTTATGTATACGAATCTAAACTCTCTTATGTCCAAATTTAATGAATTTATAAGTACTGTTCAATTTTTCAAACCTCACATTATTCCCCTAACAGAAACGTGGCTTTAATTCTTCTATTCCCGATGCTATTGTAAACATTGATAATTTTACTATATTTCGTAGAGACAAAGGAACTCGTCGAGGGGAAGGAGTATGCATCTATTTAGCAAATGAAATTACCAACACTTTTTCCATCAGTAATAAAACAATAGACGTACCCGGTATAGAAATTATCCACTTACTTATTACTAATAACTCTATCATATTTAATATAGTTTGCATATACCGACCTCCCGATACAGTACTTACTCAGGCAGGACAATATGCTTATTAACAAACTTGAGGAATTATCATCCCTTGAAAATCTCATTGTTGTTGAAGATTTCAATTTTTCAGAAATAAGCTGGCCCATTATTTCCAAAACTGATACTATCAATTCCCAAAATTTGTTTAAAAACTTTATCATGAACTCAAATTTATTACAACTGATAACTGAATCTACAAGGTTTAGAGCCAACAATAATCCTTCAATTTTAGACTTATTTTTCACAAATGACGATGAATTAATTTCTACACTTGAAGTGTCCTCTCCTGTGGGTCTTTCTGACCACTCGCTTATTACTGCTCATATTCAATTTACTTTAACACCGCCTTGCAAAAATAATTTTGTAACGTATGCCACTACTAATTTCTTTGATGTAAATTCAGTTTTATCCCAGTTAAACTGGCAATCTATTTTTCCTAATCACTCTGATCCATCGTCAATGTGGGACTCTTTTCTTCATACTGCTATTACAATAATTTCTGATCATACAACCGAACGGCAGGTATATAGAAATCGACTAAAACCTTGGATTAACCTCTCAGCTGCTCATTTAATTCGACATAAACGAAAGCTTTGGCGAAGATATAAACTCACTGGTTCCCCTGATGATTTTCTCGCCCACCGTAATTTTTCTAACCGAGTCAAACATTCTTTGCTAAAGTTAAGAACAGAATTTGAAGAATCTATCATTGCAAGTGGTAATAGTAAAAAAGTTTATCGGTACATTCGTACATCTTTATCTTCTAAAGTCTCCATACCATTGCTTCAAAAAGCTGATGGGTCTTTATGTTCTTCAAATAACGAATCTTCGGAATGTTTATCGTTATTCTTTTCTCAAGTTTTTACAGATGAACCTAACGATACCATTCCTCAAATAATGTGCCCTCGTTTGTCTAAAACTCTTGACAATATATCTTTCACACCGGATGAAATTAAACATCATTTAAGGAAACTGCCAAATAATTCATCACCTGGATTAGACGGACTCACCTCTTTTTTCCTCAAACAATGTGCAGATTTTGTAGCCATCCCTATATCTCTCACAATGACTGCTTCTTTTAATCAAGGTTCCCTCCCCTCATCCTGGAAATTGGCTTCAGTTACTCCTGTATTCAAGAAAGGTAATAAACTTGATTGCAATAATTATCATCCAATCAGCCTGGTTCCTATTGTCGGCAAGGTCATGGAATCGATTATTTCGGAAGCTATGTCCGAGTTCCTCCTTCAAGTAAATGTCATCCCTCACCAACAGCATGGATTTATCAAAGGTCGTTCAACGATCACAAACTTACTTCATTGTGTAAATGATTGGTCAATATCTTTAAACAATCGGAATCCTGTCGATGTAGTTTACTTAGACTTCTCCAAAGATTTCCGCGGTTACCATTTTCCTATGGTATCCGCGGAAAGTTAAACATTTGGATACAAGATTTTCTATCCGACAAATACTTCAGGGTTCGTGTTGGGGAAGACCACTCACTAGATAAGCCAGTCAAGAGTGGAGTTCCACAAGGATCAGTATTTGGACCGCTACTTTTTTGTATATACACTAGTGATCTTCCGCTCATTGTATCCAGTAAGGTTTCCATTTACGCTGATGAAACGAAGTTATATGTGAATCCAACTATTAAGCAACATATTCTTCAACAAGATCTTGACGCAATATTTAAATGGTCCTTAGAATGGTTACTTCCGCTTAACATTGAAAAATGCGTTGTTTTACATATCGTCAAAAATAACCCATCACTGCCGTACTTTATTAATGGACATCCTTTAAACTCTGTAACCTCACACAACGATCTCGGAGTGATAATTAATAGTGACTTAAATTGGTCTGATCACATAGTGTCGGTGTGTAAACGTGCTAACTCGAAACTGTTTTTGATCCGTAAATGTTTTGCACGCATATCTCTAACCTCTGTTAGTAAACTTTACTCAATATACGTTAGACCTATTCTTGAGTTTGCCGGACCAGTGTGGAATCCAGATCTCAGTCGCGATAAAATCCTACTTGAAAACGTTCAGCGTAAAGCCACAAGACTGGCATACGGCCGTGTAAACACCTAACTATGAAGATAGACTATTCATGGCTCATCTTACGAGATTCGAGCAGCGACGTCTTCGAGGTGACCTAATTATGTCCATCCGTATTTTAAAACATAATTTTGGGAACCTAAACATAATATTCACTTTGAATCAAGACGAAAGATTAAGAGGCCATCGATACAAATTAAAGAGGGAACAAACTACTGCAAGGTCCAGGGTGAACTTCTTGCCAAACACAATCTTTAATATCTGGAACAATTTGGATCAAGACACCATATCGGCAGATAGTGTTAACATCTTTGAAAATAAACTTGATAGCGCTTTATTTTTTTTATAGGATAGGATATTTTTTCTCGGACAGCATTATTTATTTAATTATTGTGTCACAATTCAATTTTTGTTAATTGTTTAACTGTAGGTACTTAACTTTATAATTAGTATTAGTTTTATTAGGATGTATTTCATTTTTGTTTATTTTTGCTTTTTTGGCATAATAGGAGCTCGCTCCTCTGCCCTTATTTGTTGTATAATAATAATAAAATAAAAAACATTGAAATATTAATAAACCAAACATAAACAACATAAAATACATACTATTGACACAGAACAGAATCTTGTAATAATATGTATACGATAAACCTGTGCATATAATAAACATTACAAATAATATAGAAACGATAACCTTCTATTGATGTACACATTCCATACACATTTTTATTTGATGCTCTCCACACAAGGCACTCCCACACTACAGCCCTCGCCGGTATTCAACAACATGCGTTACATTCAAAAGCATGGAAATACTCTCTTTGAGACTTCTTTATAAAGTTGGTACTGTTTGGAGTCTTATTTGTTTCCACGGCTTCGTTAATTGTTCATGAAGTTTCAGCATAAAATTTAATCTTGATAATGGCTCCTGTTTATTTTTAGTTGCATTGTGATGGTAGATTACAAAAACGTTTTCTCCTGCAATATTTATCACATTGTAAAATATGCATAGCGACCACCTTGTACTCTTCCTATTACAGCAAATGTTCTAAGACATTTGGTCAAATGTATCTACAGCCCCTTTAGTTGAATTATATGTATGGATTATTTCGGGTTTTGTTGTTACACGATTCATATTTCCAGAAAAATGCATAGTGGAAAGTAGAAGAACTGTCTTATTTTGCTTAGGTTTATAAGATAATAAAGTCATATTTTCATCGTACACAAACATACTTGAACCGCAGTTTCAAGTTTTGTTATCGAGAAATTTTGGATGTATTTCTGCTTTATTTTTCCGGAGTGTTCCGACCATTGTTAAATTGTAAGAGGAAGGTAATAATTTATTCGCAAGAGGGATGCTGGGAAACCAGTTGGTCATTGTCACATTACGTCTACTTCCATGTAAAGGTTCCGTTAGGCTTGTGACAAAAGGTTCTGCTAAAGGAATGCCGTCGGTTACAGTAGATTTACCCAGATCCGGAGTTGCACTTATTTTATATGTCGTAGCCACATCGCAAACCATAGGGTAAACTATACAGTGATTGGCCAGTTAAGAAGGTGGATGCAGTTAATTTAATTTTTTTAATAAAATTTCACTTACAGACCCCGTAATATTATTTTTTGGTTTCTTCAGTTTTATTGATAAATGATTTTAAAAAATATTTTCTCCATTTAAATCAATGTTTATTTGTAATTTCGAAACAATTTGTTATTTGGAAAATAA